TTCCCAGGTTACTTAGAGCTCCCATCCAGCCTGGCCTTGAACACTTCCAGGGACGGAGACTCCACCATAATATGCTTCTCCTACAAGACTAGGGCAAACATTCCAGCTGTGTAAGCAGCTGGAGCTGAAAATAAAAAGTCTTACAGTAGGAGTGCTTTCCAGGGACGTGGATAAGCAGCATTTGGATCCCTGCTCCAGCCTCGTGCCCCTCAGAATTGCAGACACCTGCCAAGCACTCTTACTGGAAGAGTGTTACTCCTGCAGCCTGGTCATTCATCAGCCTTTCCCTCAGAATCTGCAGCAAGAGTTCTTTTAGTTCTCAGCAAAACTTTGAAATTTCTTGCCAGAATCTTTCAATATGGATGGAAATCTCAGTTGCCTGGGAATAGACTCATATTTTGTCTTGGACCCTCCTCCTTTACAAATGCAATTTGTCTCCTAAAGTTACAGTTACCAGAAAAATCTCAAAATGTTTGCGCTGCAAAGCGTGCCCCTGGTGGTTTTCTTACAAAGCATGAGAAATGATAACAAACCAAACCCTTACCACCATGCACTTGAGCACTGTGAGATGGATTTTCTGTACTGTTGGAATAATCCAGTTTCTTCTACAATATCAAATTTCACAGATAGAGGTGATAAGGGAGAAATATGAAAGACTTACAGATTTACTGGCAAAACTCCATCTCTCAAATATACCTGTAATGGCACTTGGGAGAACCATTCTACTACTGTTATGTTTTCTTTCACTTGCAGCAGCAGTGGCAGAAGTACATAATGTTATTTCACAGTTACATTTCAGATTTAATAATCTCAAAATATGCGTGACTTGCTGGACAACCCTTCCCACAGATAACACCTTCCTGTCTGCCTGATCTCAGATATTTATCTTTGAAATGTTTTTTTCTCAAACAGCCATGATAAAGCTTTGTGGAGTCCACAAAAATGTCGTTTTATCCCACGTTTCTGTTTTAGGTATCTTTGTGATTTTGCCCTTTTTGCTACTTCAGACCAGTCCTTTTTAGCTAACTTGTCCCTTATCTGCAAGCAAAGCAGTTCAGTTTTGCAAGAATAACAGAGGTCTTTCTCCAGGATTTCATTACTCAGCTTTTCAGGCTCCATTCTCAGAGAAATTAGTTTGAATGAGATAACTGTTAATATAATTACCATGGCATCATAATTTCTGGTTGCAACAGCATCTGTCTATCATCTGTACACTGAATTACAGCAGTATTTTTGAGGGATTAATTTTATCTGAGGTTTCGGTTTGCTTTTTTTTAAAACCAGAAAAGTAAAATAGAAATCCAACACAACCAAAACCAAGAAAAATCCTAGCCTCCAGTTGCAGGTAAGCTCTGAGGGGGCTAGTTTGCATTAGCAAAGTTAAATAAATAAACAGAGGAACTTCTGGCTTGATTCAGTGAGCCATACTTAGACTCTCACAAAGCCACTGTTGAAGGCCTGTTTTTGCAGAACTTCCACACTCTGCAGGTCACAAGGACAAACCAGGGCCATAAGGGAAAGTATTTTAGGTTTAAAAAAAGTGGAGGGGGTGGGGAAAAAAAGTGCTGATTTGGGCATTCATAATCTCTGTGGCACTGCAAACTCAAAATGCAGTAGCTCAGGCAGCATGTTTTTTGTCAGACTGCTGGCCTGCTTTTCTTTAGGGGATCTGGAGACGTTTGGAGCAGTGTGAAAGGAATTCCTCATATCCCCAGCCAAAGTGCTTGTTTTTCACTGGTGTCACCTGGAGGCTGAATGAACGGACTAACAAATGCAAAGGGTGGAACTGGGGTGAGCTGGGAGTTGCCCTGCAGTACCAGGTGCAGTCTCTCAGCAGAAATTGCACAACTTTTATTATTATCTGTTGCAAATTCCATGCCCTTAGTGAGTGACGCCCAAGCCATCAGGAGATGGGCTCAGTCAAGGTCTTGGTCAGTGATTTGTGAGGGATCAAGAGGGCAAGGTCAGTGAATTTCCTGTGAGACTTTTGTGGGCTTTTCTCACTCTTCCTGAATCTTCAGCCACAGTAGCATTTTTCTTGAAAATCAGAGAGATGGCAGGAGGTGAGGATGAGCAAAACTGGGTCGGGGGTACCATTTCAGTTCTTCTGGTTTTGAGGTCTCTGCAGCATTCCTTCCTCACAGGAGCTGTGACTAAAAGAGGATAATAAAATACTTCAGCTGTCCAGTTTAAAAATGAGAGAAAGTTATTTTTTTATTGTGCAAATTTTTGTTCCCCCTTCCTGAGGGACTGTGTAATTAACATTGATTTCTTTTGCTTTCCATCTGTAATTGCTGGAGAAGCTCTGGTGGTGGAATTTTAACCCTTCCATCTTTCCACAGCCTTAACACTGACCTTAATGTTTCCCATGAGTAATAAGGGAATTTGCTTAATCTCTTTGTATGGGGCTAGCCATGGGTTATTGAAAATGACCTATAGCTATTGTGCCAATGAATAAAATGTCACAAGTAATTTTGGCAAACCTAAAGAGGCAACTAATTGAAGGACTTGTCAGTGAAAGTCAGAAAAAAATCATCTGTTTTTAATATCTACCAGGGCTCAAATTCAGCTTTTATTTCACATATAAAGATGTTAATTCTGAAGCATATACACCCCTTTCTAGAACTATTTATGGTACAATTTTTCAGAAAAAGATTGCATTAAACAATCTGATCAATAATCAAAGTGATCCAGATTAAAACTTAAAGCAAATTGCTGTGCTCATTCCTGCTTTGAAAGGGATTTTGAACATTTGAAAGGAGCAGGCTTTTCTTAAAAAGATTATTTTTAGGGGATATCTAGGAAAGCAAGCTTATCAAAACCACTGTGCAACTGGTGATGTAGGATTTATTAACCCCTGGGTCACATGTGAGCTGCAGCAGTTCTGTATCCTTAAAGATGGCTGGTCAGAAATTAAGAAAGTGTAAATACAGAACATACCCTGATTAAATACCACTGTAAGGAGCCAAGGGATCTACTTTTCTACAATGTGATTGTTGCTGGTTTTGTTTATGGTGCCTTTCAATGGACTTGAAAAACCAAAGGGCAGCAGCTCTACACAGAAATTAACTTCTTGCAATGAGAGAAATTTGTAGAGTGCATCTGTTTGCTGGTAAATGACATCATTCTACTACCTACACACTGCCCAGCACCTTTTGCTTTTTAAAGTAACTTCCTACAAGGGCCCAGCTAATGCAGAGTTGCAGATTTTCATTTGATGTGAGGTTTTCCGACAGTTTGTATCATTTATTCTTTTTATGTGTGTCATGAAAATCAAGCTGCTTCCCCCACCAAGATTTCCCGAAGAACAAAGTGTGTGAACAAATTCTTTCCAGCCTTGCACCAAGGCAATGTGACTGACTTTTCAAGGCCTGTATGATGTAAATGGGAGCAGTTTGGCTCTTGTTGTATAGCATGTGCATATAAATATATGTGTGTGTGTATAATAGAGATGAATGTAAAAATGTCAGCAAGGGAATATTTTAGGCTAAGTGTCAGGAATTGTTTCTTTGCAGTGAAATCTTTTATGATAGAGGATGGTTTCTCCATCGGGAGAAATGGTGGGAGCTTCTTTACTCGATTAAAAACTGGACAGACCTCTCGGATCACAGCATGGAACAGTTTTGTGTTGGCAGAGATATGAGCTAAGCACCTACGAGCTCTGTTCCACCCCCAGTTTCCATGAAAGATAGATGGATAGTTTGATAACCCTTGAGGCAGTTTTAGCAGCATAGTGCTAATGTAGCTCTTATACTTGCCAGACCAAGTTTTCAAAAGACATTTGGAGAAACTGTGTCTGGAGTGGTTCATAAATTAGACTGCACTATATCAGCAAAACTCTCCACTTCAGGGAGGTGACTTCATCAGCAAGAAGTCAGTACATCCACTGGGATTACTGTTTATTACTCGTGGGATGTTAAACCCATGTGAAAGACTTTCCTGTGTACCAATGGAAGAGAGGTGACCAGGAACTGCCTGTCACCTTCCCTTGCTTTTTCTCTAAAAAGTTCCTGGCTCAGGCAGGTGAGTGTTAGAACAGTCAGTGTGCCTTGTCCCCACCATCACCACCACAGGAGAGGATTTATTTGCTTGGAGGGGAAACAGGGAAATGGCAGAATTTACAGAATTAACTGGAAAGGAGTTTACACCCCATCGCAGAGGTAAGGAAACTTAGGAATTAAATAAGAACATACAGATGGAAACATTTCCTGTTGCTGGTATGGACACTTTTATAGAGAATTTAAGCCACATAATACTTGCTTTCTTGTTAAGTTTTCCTTTCACAAATCCTCTAAAAGCAGTTCACAAGTAGTGATGAGAACCAGTGGATGGTGTTCACAAATGGCCATGAAGGGAAACAGGGGAGGGCCGTTGTTCTGTACAGTGGTTTCTCTCTATCAAAAGATGCCTAGGTTTGCTATCTTGTCACTTCAGGTTTTTGGAAGTGACAGCTCTAAGCTATATTTAAGCAGTATGTCTCACAGATAAATTCTGAGCAGCTGATAGATGTTTTCACTCAGAGACATTGTCCCAGCTTGGAGGCTCCAGCAGCAGGCAAGGAGCGAGTGGAGGGTCTGCATCCCTTTCAGTAAAGATTTCTCATTGCTACAGGACAATAATTAGTCATTTATGCTGTGTTCTGTTTTTTTTTTTAATTTTCTTATTAAGATTTTGGATACATTCTTTCAAAGACTTGTAGGGCACACTTGGATTCCAGGCTTCCTTTTGGAATCCCTGAGCACACTGTAGCTCTGCTCTTAAACCGTGTCCTTGCCACTGATTCTGAGTCCATGTCTGTGTTTTATGTGTGTAGAGCATATGGCAGGGTTATTTGTGCCTGTAAGTGGAGAGGGAAATAAAAAGAGGTCACTTTAAACTGTGGGATGTTTAAAGTAGATCCCGAGGGGTGTGTGCTACACCTGTACAGTAATTATCCATCAGAGCCTCAACAGGTGTTTCTCATGGGGATTTTTGTTATCTCCTTCCATGTGGAGGATGTATTGGCTGGTGATGCCATTCTCTTACTCTTTCTCTCCCGTTCCACAGCTGATCTGGAGGTCAGGATTCCCACCCCTGCTGAAAGTGGCTAAAACAGCAGGTAAAGATGAAATATGTTTTATTATTTAAACTGTGTTTGGCCCTGGCTGTTGAGGAACTGAAAATTAGGTTATTTAGTGAAATGGTATGGTGGGATCACACTGTGGTAGAGTTACATATAGCCAGAAAGGCTCATGTAAGGTGTGAGTGTGAGGTGCAGGAGGAAACAAAATGTTTTCTGTAAGATAATTGGATGGATTAATCTTGGAGTAAGATTTTTTAATTTTTTTAAATTTATTTAAGTGAGAGATATAGTTAATGGTAATTAATTTGAAATGCAATCAAGAGGAGTAAAAAAGTTGCATTGGGCCCAAGTGAAAAAGAGATATAACTACTTACAACCTTTATTAGAAATGTTCACGAGGCCTCTAATTAATCAGATGCAACTTTTAGAGCCATAATTCAGTTGTAGCAATGTTTCCAAGAAGACCATTGCTGCTCAGTGCTGTGACTCAGGTGTTTTCAGAGGAGCTGAGAGACATCTGCTCATGTGACTTCATTTAACTCATAGGAGTACTTTTTAGGTAAAAGAGAAGGAAAATTTGAAAGATGAAGAAAAGGTCTTAATTAAATAAATATTATTACATAAATACTCAGTAGTTATCGAGCATAAGATCTGACAGGACATAAACTCTGCTGAAAAATCTTGTTAAGTAACCTGCCAAAAGCTGAATATATCCTAATATGCCATTTGTCTTCTTACAGTCACTTAAATCCCATGGACAAATACAGAGGAAGAGGGAAAAATCTTTGCTCAAACTATTTTTAGCTGCCAGTGTGTGGCAAGGAGCTTTTTCCAGTGCACTGTGGTAAAGAAGTGGACAAGGAAAAGGGAAGCTTGGTATAACTCCAAAAATTCCCTTTTTTTTTGTTTGTTTTAATGGCAGAAACCACGGGCTGCGGAAGTAGTTGGGAGCAGGAATCACTCTGCTTGCAAAAAGGCCTGGAAAGGACTAGCACATGTGAGGAAGGAGGCATCCTTGGAGGGATTGGCATAGCCAGTCACAATTCTTCATGGGGTTATACTGGGAAAGCAATAAATATACACATTGGAAGGACTGCACTGTGTTAGGCCTTCTTCAAGCCTCTTTCCTGGAGCAGAAATACTTTATATTAAAGGAATTGTCTGAGGCAGCAAAACGAAGTGCTTTGAGGCTGTTTTATGAGCCATCTCTGTCTCCCTCTGGCTCTCTCTCTCCATACATATCTGTGTGTAGCCTATTTTAAGCACAGAGTGTTTGAGCTCTAACACCATCTGAGGGTGTTACACTTGGCGCGTCAGGAGTTCTAGCGCGCCAGACCCCGGGTCCTTTGGAAAGGGGGGGATGCCAGTCAATCTGGTCTGCAGCAGGGGTTATGTATCATTTGTAAGTTTTTAATCACATGTCAGAGCTATGAAATGATGCCCTTTGGTGCTCAGCCTGTTGTTTTCATCAGCTGACTGGCTCTGTTTGAGCGCCGGGAAGCCGATGATTTGGGGATCATCGCTCACTCCTTCACAGAAGGTGCTGGGAATAGGAACAGAGTTGGATGGCTTGCAAATGACTGCAGATTTCAGATGGGCTGAGAGGCTTGAGAGAGATCACAATAAGCAGGCAGCAGTGCTGGTGGGCCTGATTTCACTCACAGAAGGGCTGCAGTGAAAACTGTGAGGTTTTCATGCAGTGAGGTGCCAATTAATCAGCTAGAGAGATTGAGAATCCTCTAAATTAGGGGTTTGAAAATTATCTAAAATAAAATAAATTGAAAACACTTGGAGAGTCTTTAGGCTAATGGGCAGGGAAGAAAGCTTGCAAACAGGTCTTTTTGCTGAGTTAAAATGACTGATTGTAGCATTCACTGATTCTAACATTTATTTTTTTTTTTTCTGAATATGTTTTGCCTTCTCTTGAAGAACATTTGCAGAGTGAATAATTAGTCAATTTTCATAATCTGGTTTTTCAATAATAGCTGCCTGAACAGTTGGGGACTGTTTTCCCCTGCATGAGGAGGGAAATGATACTGCTGCAAGGAGGAAAGGAATCCTGCACTGAAGAGAAGTGTTCTCAGCTGGAGAGCCAACCTGATCCCAGCAGGCCACAGCTTCCTCCAGACTGTGCAGCTGAGGGTATCACTGCAGTGATGGCACTGATGCCACTGACATATCTGCTAAATTATCAACAAAACATAAATATCAAGCAGATAAGGAGATTTTTTTAAATTTTTTTTAAACAGCTGCTTTAAAGTGGAAGTTCATAGTTTGGAGTACAGGGGTTCCTGGAATATTTTCATTGATATCTTCTGACAGCTCTTTTCATTGCTGCTGATCTAGTATTCCTTCCTCTTTACTGCTGTTGAAAAGATTATTCTTAGGAAATAAAGACATACTTTGGGATTTCTGCTGGCAAAAATAAATACACAGTGTCCTCATGAAGTAATACGTGAATAGGATCCTATTGTAAATATTTTGCAAGAGGGAGATGGGGTAGGGACTGAGGCACAAGGAGGAAAGCACATTTCCTGAGGTCAGCCTAATTTCATACAATAAAAAGATACCTAATTACAGATTTTTCCCATACCATAATACATTTATAAAGATACTCCTGATATTTATGAGTTTAATGTAAAGAAGAAAAATTTCTATTTTTTCCTGCCTTAGAAGATTGTGTTTTTAAGTCAGCTTTAAACTGTCTTGATCTAATTCTTAATGGCATCACTCTTCAGTAATGCTTATCACCACAAAGAAAGCTCTTAGTGTTTTATAAAGTGGTGGTTTTGTAAAAAAAAAAAAAAAAGCTATTTTTCCAAAATAACTGTTCAGTTTCTTGCAATATAGCTGTCTAAATTTGGGAGAAAATCAGGGACTTTGATTTACATGGGAAGTATTTTATGAAAAGTAGATTTAGGGTGCCCCCAAAGTGCCCATAAGAACTCGTGAATTCAGACCCCTTTCAGAACACGAAAAATGTGAGATTCTGGGCTTTGAATAAAATGAGAGTTATGCTTAGAAAGACAGAGGAGCTGCTGAGGTTGGCAAGGAAGGATATTAGGTGGGCAAGAGGAAGGTGCTGCTTTGGAAGGTTTTCTTTAGAGCTATTAATGGAGCTTTAATTGCAGCAGAGAGTGGAAAAAAGAAGCCAGGACAAGATGGGGTGAGGATCTCAGGAAGACACTCTTTAACTGAATAGTATTTTCAACATGTCTGAAAGGATAATATTAATTGGTTGGTGCTAATATTTTGTAAATATTTTCTGTCTCATCAAGTGCCCTGAAAAATGAGGTTGTTGCTTCAGTACAATGGCAGGGGTTTTACCCCTAAGTTTCTTCATGGGCTAAAATGTGCTAGCTTTGACTTAGTCCTGGCAGAAAGAAGGAGATAATTCTAATTTTAAAAAAAATAAAAAGAAAATTTTTACTAGATTTACCCCAAAATGACACTTGGTTTGCTCAGCTATTTCTCATGTGAAGTATCAGTATGGGGCCTGTTTTTTAATACTATTTGGCAAATAGCCAAGTTTCCCCAAGGCTGGCATCCAGCTTTTGGAGATCAAGAGATCTCAGATCACAGGAGATAAAATGCTATTCTCACCCCTGCAGAGGCTGTTGGGAGTGGAAGTGACAAGGTTACTCAGTGGGTTACAAATCAAACTGGAGGTGCTGCATAAGAGACCGTAAAATTTAGTCAGACTAAATTATCATGATTGTACCTCTGGACCTAAAATCTTTCTAGCAATGAATCTAAAAAAAAAATAAAAAATATATATATATCCTTAGAAAATCTTTCTTAGCCTGACCCTGTTCCATTTCTTCCTGCTTTGGATTTACTGGGCTTTCATTTGTTCTTTTGCCTCCAAGGAGATGCAGCACTACTGAATTACCCTCAGTAAATCCTAAATCTGCTGTGGGAGCTGGGAGAGCCAGCAGAGCCCTGGATGAGGTGTGCTGATAATGGCTCCTGCAGAGCAAGAAAGGACAAGGATGACACAGAACAAAGCAGCATCAAGGTTTTAAGCGTGGTTGGTGCAAACCTCTTTGGGATTCTAACTCTTTTTTATTTTGTTTTTGTGTGCAGTGAATCTGTGTCAGTGTTTGATGTTTTTGGTTAGTGGGTTTCAATTCTCCTTCTGTGTCAGCAAAGGCATTTATGCCAGAAATTTCAAGAAGCCTTATTCCACTACCTGGAACGGAGGGGGAAATCTGTAAAAAAGTAAAGCAGAGAAAGAATTCCACACATCCACCTACGTTTTTCTCATTCCTCAGGGGTCTCTCTTTTCTTTCTCTTGGTGCTGAGAATAATTTTTCTTTTTATTGTATTCTTGAGTAGCTCTTGCCTAATATATTTTATCTTGCTAATAAATTAGTTTTCTGGTAGTTTTAAGAGTTTTTGTGACACTACCTGGGTCTAAAAATTGGTAGTAAATGACCACAGTTCATAAAACTTAATCTTAAAAATGAGTAATTGATTCTCGTTTGTTTAAGTGCTCAGATACCATGGTGTGTAAAATAGATAATATTTGTGTGTTATTCTTAGTCCTGTGCTCTTACCCACCCAGGGACAAGTTCTTTAATTTTGTAATGAGTAAAACTAGAAAGCTTCATTTCGGATCTACTTTCAGTTGTGAGAATCAGGTAAGACTACTGCAGGAACTCTACAGAGCTAAGGAATTTCAGTGATAGCTGGAAATAGCATGGGGATGGTGGTTTTGAAACCATCTCCATTGAGTGAAGCATAAACAGAAAATATTGCCACTTCTCACTGTGAAGAACTATATAAAAATTTTCACTTTAATTTGCACAAATTTTCACTTTTGTTCTGGAAAGTTTTGCAAGAAGAGTCAAGTATTTCCACTTCTTGCTGAAACTGGGCAAGTTTATGCCCCCCACTGCCATGGAGTGCTTTTGCTTTGGCAGGAGAAAACACAGATAAATCAGTCTTCCTATCCCTGTGGAAGATTTTGATTCATTTCCTTTCCAGGGGGAGAGCAGCAGCTAAGAGCAGTTTAACCAGGTCAGATCACTTAG